GTTTCAAGGTAGAAAACAAAATTACTGTTGAAAATCTTTATAACATTGAACATTTTTGTACTCACCCGTCCTCGTATTTCTCCTCTTGGATTCATTTTGGTGCTGACCTGAATATAAGCCGTGCCTTCGTCCAAATGCCTCAATAACTCAACACTAAGATCTTTCAACACACCCTGAGCCTGTAAGAGACACAGTTTGTGTAAATTTGTGCAATTTGGACGAGATTAACTCTTAATGTTTAACCAGAATTAAATGCATTTAACCTACAAATACCGAATGCAATACTGCTTTCAGCTCATTTGGGAAAACAGCAGCTTTGTTTTATAAACAAAGCCTTTAAAGTATTTTAATAAATAACAGCAGAATCATGTTTCTGGCATGATTTCGCCGGAGCAGCCAAAGAAAACACGCTTTTGTTGTGCTGCAATCACGCAGTTTACATTATCGCCAAACTATGTTTAACTTAGAGTGTCTTGATTTGTTTACCTGTTGACCGTAGAAGCCAGTCAGAAGTCTCTTGTGATTGGTGGACGAGTCGTCCATCTCGCCGATCTCGGCCAATCCGTGCAGGTGAGCGTTGACGGCGGCGTCTTCGCTCTTGCTGGGGCCGTTGACGACGATGTCGTAATGCAGATGACACTGTTCGTCCACCGAGACCCAGGCATGACCCGCCGCAGCCGCACGGACCGGAGGAGACACGAACTGACCCGCCAGAGGAACCGGAAGCTCTACGGATGAAAAACAGTGGGCTTGAATTACAAACGACTTATTCATTAATAATCAAATCAAATAATCAAATGATCAGAATGTAACTTTTCCAGTAAGTGGCAAATTTTGCATCCTGCATTTTATTTTTTGCATTGCAAAAAAAAATTTATAATCAGTATAAAAATACATATATATTATATATATATAATATAAATACATGGGTCAAAGACGAAAAAGGGTTTAAGCATAAAAACAATAAGTGTAATACTGCTTTAAATTGTTGTTTTTCCCAAAAAAAATTACAAAAAAAATTCTTTAATTTAATTGCAATTTTGTTTTTGTTTTTCTGAGCAAAAAATAAATATCATACATTTTTCCCTGATTTACAGAAGAGACCCACTAAAATATCAATCAGTGTAACAATCCTGTCACGCATATTTACAACAAAAATCAATTTGACACATTAAAAGACTAATTACTTTCACCCCAAATACTAATTAGTTGTAATTTTAAATTTCTAATAGTTGCCACTATCCTAGGTTTTGCCCATTTGTCAGAAATAATTTTTTACTCATTTAAAACACAATCAAATTTAATATGCTCTCGACCCACATACATAAGATCTAAAATCAATAACTATTGATACTTTTATTTATTTATCTATAATGATGTTCCATAAGCGCCACCTGCTGCATTTGCATTCAGCCCGCCCGCTGTTTTTGTTTCATGCAGATGTTATGTAACATAAATTCACAAAGCTAAAATCAGCCCATTCTGCTTTTGCTTCAGATTTTGAAATAATGCACTCTAATTTATATATAAAGCATGTTTAAAACAAGTTTAATTAGTTTAAATGAGATATATATTTTTAAAGTAAATAATACCAATCTAACATGAATGCATATTAATAAATTTACTAATATTTTAAATAATACATACAGTATATATGTAAAATATCTAAAATGTAAGCCATTTATTATTATTATTATTGTTGTTGTTGTTGTTGTTAATAAATGTAAGAGATATATTTATTAAATAAATAAAAGTAAACTAAAATGTAATACATTTTTATACATTTATTTATAAATATATATATATATACAAAAATGGACCCTTATGACTGGTTTTGTGGTCCTGGGTCACATATATACTGAACATATAATATTATTTTTATAATAAAAAAAAAAAAATTATTATAAATAAATTCTTTCTCTGTCTTTTCTCACCGTTTCGGCGTGCGTCCAGTCCGTTGTACGGCAGCATTCGTATCTGTCCGCGCAGTTCGCTCTCTTGCTGCTCGGCCGTGGCGATGTTAATGAACAGTTCGTTCTGCAGCAGCATGTGAATGTGTCTGGCCTCGACGCGGCTGCAGCTTCCCAGCGCTCGCCCGCCGCCGCGCTCCTCCGCCGCGGAGAAATCCGCCGTGATGTCGTACAGCACGCTGCGTTTACTGCGCCGCCGCGGCTTCATC